TTGGAAACCGCACTGTAGATAATTAAATGATTCAAATAAATAGATCCGGATTTTTAATTTAGAAGTCAAACAACAAAAATCAGCGTTATGTTTTCAAGTTTTCACAGGACTAGTTTCGAAGGTTTTGCCGATCCACCATCTTCAGCTACAAAAGCGCTTATCATATCTTTTCTCTTTCATTTGTGCGTTTGCAGCTGAGGAAGATGGTTCGGTAAAACCCTCGAAACTAGTCCTGTGAAAATTTGAAAACATAACGCTGATTTTTGTTGTTTGACTTTTAAAGTAAGAAATTTGTTGAAATGCAGATTAAAATTAATTAGAATTCATTGGCCGCCGAAAGGTTATGATTTTTTATCTTCAGCTTCGGCCTGCCTTGGCTTTCAACGATTTTGTTGACTTTTATTTTAAACATTGTAAATGAATTTTTTATACATTTTTATACTTTTTTATTTACTTTTGAGTTTTTTTTTTCTTTGTGTATGATTTATTTGTATTATTGAAAATTGATGTTATTGCTTACAATTTTTCCTTTTTTTACTTACAATTTGTAAGTTTCGTGTGATACTGTGGGTTTGATGAATAAGCGAAATCGAAACTAATCAGCCAGAGCATTTCATAAGTGAAATAAATGCTTATTTTGCTCTTAAAAAGAAACAGCATATTTATTTTTTCAATTTCCGTTCTTGTTTGCAACATGTTACTTATTTTTACATAAAAGTGTAACAAACGTTTTAAGAAATAAAGCTTACGCAACGCTTATCAACAAACGCTAGGAGTAACAACGTTTTTAGCTCGACTCGTTGTTGCCACACGGCGAATCTTAATAACTATTCAAAACATTCCATCATGTTGCCATTAAGGAAATCTTAACAATTTAATAGGAACATTAAATTATGTTCTACTACATTACTCCCCCTCCAGTAACTGTGTTACGATTTAAGAGATTCTGGTAGTGGTGTAATGTAGCGTAAGCTAACATTATAATTAAAAATACTAAAAACAATAAATAAATACAATTACAATTAAACATATTCAATAATAGAGGTTAGGAAAAATATTCAACAGTGTTACTAAAAACGTAGAGGACGTTTTATTAGTCGTCCAGTTCGTGAGACTCGAGGTCGTTCATCATTGTTCTCAGATTTTAACAAAGTCTGAGTCTTGGGCTGGGTATCAGAAGTTTCTGGTTACAGCCTTTGCTCACCTGATGTTAAACAATAGGCTGGCTTCAGCCTATCAATCGAAATGTTTACTTCCTTACCTTTGATTTGTAACAAGAAGTATTTGTCCATTCTTTTAAGTGCTTTGAAAGGTCCTTCATAACTAGGTTCTAATGGTTTCTTGACTCTATCGGTTCTTAGGAAAACATGAGTACACACATTCAAATCTTTATGGACAAAAACTTTAGGAATCATTTTGCGCTGTACCACAGAGGGCTTGAACAATTCCATTTGTTTTTGCAATTTATGCAAAAATGTTTGAGGTGTAGAAACTGTCGGTTTATCAAAAAATTCTCCAGGAAGTTTGATTGTTTTCCCGTAAATCATTTGTGCAATGGAATATCAAGTCTTCTTTTATGGTTACCCTAAGCCCTAGAAGAATTGTTGGAATGGGTTCGAAGCACTTAATGGAATTATGACATTTGATAGCAGCTTTCAAAGTTCGATGAAATCTCTCAATTTTGCTGTTACTCTGTGGATGATAGGAAGTTGTGTGTTGAATTTTGACTCCACATATACGAGATTGAGAGATATAATTGCCAAGGTTCGAAATAGTTCAGAAGTAAACTGTGCTCCACGATCCGTAATAACTTGTTAAGGAACTCCCAAACGAGTGATCCAATGTTCATAAAAAGCTCTGGCAACGGTTTCTGCTGTTATGTCACGCAAAGCAATGGCTTCCATCCAACCATTATAGCGATCAAAGCAAGTCAATCAATACACAAAATTATCAGATGGTGAATAAGGACCTATTAAGTCTATGTGAACTATAGTAAAACGTTCATCAGGCTGCTGATAAGTTCCTAATGCAGATTTTGTATGACGTGAAACCTTATTTCTTTGACAACCAATACAGGCACGACTCCCTGTTTGTATATCCTTATTTTGGCCAAATAAATTTGTCGTTATCATCTCCATGGAATTTGTCACGCTGACGGGATAAAGCGAGTTCTTCATCTTCATTAGATTCTTCTTCATATTCCATAATTCTGTCGGTGGCAGGCATGCTTATTCTTGTTTGCCACATGTTACTTATTTTTACATAAAAATATAACAAACTTTAAGAAATAAAGCTTACGCAACGCTTATCAACGAACGCTAGAATTAACTACGGTTTTAGCTCGACTCGTTTTTGCCACATGGCGAATCTTAATAACTATTCAAAACATTACATCATGTTGCAACTTAGGAAATCTTAATAATTATATAGGAACATTAAATTATGTTCCACTACAATACTTTGTGCTGTACGAGGATTTCTTTTTCTTTAAATAAATAACAAACAAACAACAACAACAACAAAAAAGACTTCTAAATTAATACTTGTTCGGCGTGTTATTGTATCTTAATTACATCCGGGTTACTTTTCTATGAAAAAGAGATTCTGGAATTCTGAAAAATTTGTGAAGAACTGAAAATACATGTTTATGTGACATGAAAAAATAGAGAATTGGTTTCAGATTAAAAATATATATATATATATATATATTATTCACCCTGGCCATAAACATCCTTAGGCGAAATTAAGTTAACTAAATATATATCGTAGATAAAACTTCAGTTGAAAAAAGCTTCAAATAACGTTGAGTATTTATGTTTCGTCAGTTTAAAATTAAAACAAATTCCAAAAATTCAGAAGTTTTATTTTATATGCCCCCATCGATGTGGTATTTCATTTGATAAGAAATTTGACTCCATTTTAAAACGAAACGTGAAATGATCAACTTCCATAAGGCAAAAACGGTACAACCCCCCCCCCCGTTATAAGGGGCCGTAAAAATTCGTCAAACTGCTGTTGATGCCAATGCTGCCAAAAATAATTACGGTAACCTTAACGCAAGAAAGGACACATAATAATAAATAACTGTCTAAGATTATTGTTTCAGTTTAGATGAAAGCTTAATTTCATGTAAATACATTTTTGTTATTATAATTTATAAACAAAAGGCTAAACATAACTGAAATTAAACGAGAGATATAAATTTTTTTTATGTCTTCCAACATAGCAGAGAATATTTCAGTTTTTTGTGCGAGCGTCTGTACATAAACTCGGACAAATAATAATTGAAATGCTGTCGAGCAGTGTGACTTTTATTACGCCATTTAGCACTGCCCCCACAGCCGCTCTACTATTTGTCTATTACACTCACTTTCGGGGCCCACAAAATTGTAGTTGTGATTGACAGTAAAATGTTCAAAACTTACTGTTGACAGTAAAATGTTGCAGTTCATCAGACTTGTATGATTTCCAGCAGTCAGTATAAATTTATTGCTTCCTTCTGCGATATTTTCTTTTATGACGTTCAATTTCTTTTATGACGTTAATGACGTTCAAGTTTTCGCCGATCGTTCTGGAACAGCGATTAAGAAGAAAAATTCTTTCGATTCTCTGCATAAACCGCCGAAAACAAAATTTTAGTGGAAGAACACGTCCAACGTTATTCTTTCTTCTACCGAAAAGGCTTTCGTCTACTTCAATAACTTTGCCCATTCCGCCGATTTTCAAGTTAGGCCGAGAAATAAAATTGCGGCACATACCTTACGCATGTAACTGTTCCTGTCTACAAATGCATTGTGGTTCATCTTCAGCTGTAGTTCACAAAATTCAATAGATATCATGTCCTGACAATAAAAATAGATGAACCTAACGGTTGTAAGGAAGGGGATTTTCGATCCTTCGAACCAATTTTGACTTCTCAATCCTTTCTTCTCATTTAAGGTTTCTTTTCTGCACCACCATTTCGCTGCTGAGTTACCGCTAAAGAATAATTTCATCTCGTGGTTGTTCGAACATAATTTTCTGTCATGAATGATGCCTGTTCTTTGAACAAATTCTATTGTAGAATTTACGTCATTATGCAATTCCCAAATTGTTAAATCCATAGCGTTATTAGATAAGAATTTAAAAATTAAACTGGTATTTCAATGACGACTTATAAATATAGAACTATCTAAATTTACGCTTTTCGGCACTTTCGTTAGATTTGGCACGCGGCTAAATGAGCGCGTTTGTTGATTTGGCGCTTTTGCCCACATATTTTCGCTGCAATTTTTTACGGTCCCTAAAACGGAATAGTACCCCCCAAAACTACCAGAGATATTTAATTTTAAAACTTGAGATAATGCTCCTTGAGAATTTGGAGACAATACAAGAACTGAAGAATGAAATGCTGAAATTTTTATGGAACTAAAAATTCAGCATCAGGTTGAGAAAATGTTTCTGATATTAATAGATTAAGCGACGCGCATGAATATCAAGAGTGTGATGAAATGTTTTGCTTATTATAATGAGTTCTTCAAAAAGGAAGTCTTATGACAAGGAACCTACGGAATTTAAGTTCTAGAAGGTAATGACAAACTTTAGTATTACTCACAGCCAACTCGTAGCATTGTTTGCGTAAACTAAATTGCACGACAATTACATTACGAACCTAAAGAAATAAAATTTCATAGGAATATTATTAAGGTACTTTTAGCTTTTTGGAAACTTATAAATTGTTTTGAAAATGCATTCATCTTATCAGACGTACAAAAATTATAAAGAATGTTACAAACTACGAAATTTCAGAGGAATATTATTGAATTCCTTTCACATTTATGATGAAAATGGAAAGAAATCAATCTCGAATCAGCCTAATTTATTTTTAACCGACCCCTGAAGGAAATTGATAAATATTTCTTTTTGATGCTGAAAAATCTAAAAATACAAGGTAACCAAACAAGTTCTTGCCGTTTTAGACAGTCAGAAAGAAAAAGTCATAAAACAAATAACAATCACCGCTAATCCTCAAAGTAATTACCATCGGCATCCTGTGCCTTTTGCCAACGAGTCGCTAGTTGTGCGATGCCATCGCGATAAAACTCAAGAGCCTTGGACGCAAAGAAGTTCGTGAGGGCCTTTTCGAGGTCTGGCCGGTTGTTGAATCTGTTGGCGCGAGGTTTGGGGAGTATGGTGGATGGGATATGGTGATGGTAATGTCTCCCAGTCCAGTCGCTGGATGGTGTCCCTGACCTTTGGAGCCACATGCGGTCTCGCATTGTCAAGGACGTGGCGTACACCCTTACGATTGACCAATGACCTTGATGCATCAGTGCCTGATGCACACGTTCCAACTGCTGCGAGAACAGGCCTCCCATGATGGCTTGGCCCACTGACAGGTGCTCATAGGGCACCACCTGGCGACTAGTCCACTAGGTACAGAGCATAAGTATCTTTGAACACGATTTACACTAAAAATTAACTTTATAAATTTCATATGTATCCTTAAATGCCTTTTTCTTTAAAAACATCCGAACATTCAGTTCAAATTTTAAGACGAGGCAACTCATGAATCTTAAAATTATCACCTTCACTCTATTTCTTAGTACTAACTAAATCAGAAGTTTCTTTCATAAGGTTTCAGGTGTCCATTCATCATTATTTTCTTGGAAAAATTTGTAAACATATAATGTAAGTAAAATTTCGACGATGTACCCTTTCCTAAACTCTCAAGCTACGAATATGGCTTCCACACATAATGTACTGAGAATTCACTATCATGTACACATTTATATACCAAAACAGGCTATTGCCAATGTATTTTTTGTTCTAATTGTAGCATTAATGATACTAAGTAAAGATCTTGAACATTAATAACCTAACATACTCTAGTAAAATCGTTCTTCTTGTTCAGTTCTTCACAGTTTAAATAGGTAGAAATCTAAATTAAAAAAAAAAAAAAAAAGTACTTGTGTTCTGAAAATATATTTTGCAGTCTAACACCTAAAAGAGATTTTTATGAAAAAGTAAAAAAAAAAAATATATATATATATATATATGCAGAAAAAATTTCAAAATTTAATGGATAAACATTTCAGCTCAGGTCTTACATAAAAATTTACAGGAAACCCTCATTAACACTCATAAATCATGGTATCGAAAAATCAAGAGATCGTGTTAAAAATTCCTGGTAACTGGAGACTCAAATTTTATTTTTCAAATAATATTTTTCTACGCATTAACAGTACGTAGGTCCAAACGTACTATCATCATATAAACACTACAAAACTACACTAATTACTGTACTGTGACTTGAAAAACTGTCCTGCAGACTTGTTATTGATATATTATTTTATTATACATATTATTTTATTTCCTATTGAGCTGTCACAGATGGTAACGATAATGCCTAGTAATTTTACGGCCAGCTGTAGTCATGGCTTCGGTAAATGAAAATGCCATCTTTCCTAACATTAGAGATCAGTTCGGATATTACAGAAAATGTTCTAAAGGTGCCCAACGTGCGTAACACTCAAGGACGCGTGGGCAGAATGTTGTTGTCATTTTTACTTTCTTTTGATGGCATTTCTTGCACTTCACACACATCTGCTTGTACATCGGATTCCACTGGAGCACACACGGCAACATCGTCATCTTCGGTAACAAAATCCTCAAACCTAACTACAGGTTTATCACCTTCTTGTAGAATATTTCTTTCGTCAGATGCAGTGAAATCGTTGCTACCATGTAACTCGTTAACAAGATTAGGGTCATTAAGTTATCTCTCCAAATTCCTCTGAAAAGTTCCGTATTTGTTGCGATACTACGGATTTCCAAATTGCGGCGTTAACTTTTATCCCATCAAACACACTCCGAGTTGACGTTTCCATCTTCCTTATCAGCAACGCGAACTGCAGCTTTCAAGTCTCTTGTGATAAAATCTCCTCAAAACAGTAATAATGCTTTGATCCAAAGAATGAAGAATACGTGGTTCATTTGGGGGAAGGTGAACCGTTACAGTGGTTAAGTTGAAGAGCTTTGAATTACTTTGAAACATTTCGTTCTAAAATAAAAGCTCTGATGACAAAATTAACTAAAAAAATAATAATTCGTGCTAACCGAAACTCGTTTAAACAATAAAACTTCCTTTAAGATCATGTACATCGCTCCCAGACACAAAATTATGTTTATGTTAACCGAATGCTTACTTTAATACCGAATTTGTGTTTGTGTTAAGGGGACGGACTCCAGTAATATTGTTACGTTTTTCTTTTCTGGCACCAGTTGTTACGTTATTTTCTTCCATCACGTTCGTACGGGGTTCGTATCGCAAACGGGCTGGCTGCATGGGCGTTTTCGTGTCTTTCCCCATGTATAACGTGTGTGCGAGCCAGTTTCCCTTAGAAAGTCCTCCACGAAAGCATCCCTCCCCTTAGGCAAATAGCCCTCGAGGCTTTGCCATAATCATACTTACACACTATGAGTACATATGGGGTTCGTAATTTGGAGTGAATAACGACGACTCTTGATGAAGTATCGAACACGCTTTATTTACCAATATCAATCAGATAGCTCTAAAATCACTTTTACAGTCGTCGAACTGTTATAAACACGCCGACTCGTTCAGCGACACAGCCTTCACACAGTCAGGCAATAACGGTGGAGACAGCTTCACTGCAAAGCACCAGAGTACAGCTCCCAACTCTGCTTAGTTGTTCTCGGAACTCCACGTACTCTTGAGACTCTCCACGCGATGCACATGATGATACACAAGAGTATAGCTCTCGATTCAGCACAGTCCAAGACAAAACTCGAGGATGCCCTAAAAGACTCTCGTTGCACTCGACTACTAACTCGGCGCTAGACCTCGAGACACTCGCTCAATGACAGACTATCAGCTCGTTAGACGAGGCACATACACACTCACTGACTGCGGACCAGTAGGATTTATATAGCTTTCGGCTTGTGTTCGAGAAAATTCTGGGCTAAACCGGTAAGAATTCGTTCCAGAAGGTTCTCCATTCGTCCATGGTATATCGCCAATTTTGTCGCCAAACGGGCGATTTCTCACCAAATGTGGCAACCCTGCCTTCTCTTGTCATTTTATGTCAACCCTAAAACTGCTTTGCGGGGAAGCCATCTCACCGCGCCTGTACATTTCGTAACAATATCTACTGAATCTAACTGATGTAATTAAATGCTTATTGTTAGATAAAATTAATGACAGTCAACTCAAAACAAGTTTTAATTGGAACTACTCTGATATGCGCCCTTAAGTCGCCATTGGCGAGAAATTCCACGCTGCCATATTACTATCTAAATTTTTTGTTTACATTTCGAACTTTAAGCTTAAAATGTCTCCAAAAATGAGGTTTTCACACATGCAAAAACTAAGTTTTGAACACACAATTTAAGCTAAAAATCCGAAACAAAAACAAAAATTTACAGAGCAAAAACGTAAAGTTTCTAACCAAAAATATTTCAGAAGAATCCATGTACACAGCGATATGTTTTAACCTAAAAAAAACACCCACGAATGGCACAATCTAGGCAACGAACGAATCTACGAACTACGCACACCTTGCTTTAATAAATTAACATAGCAAACAATAAATTTCAAAGAATAGCATGTACACAGCATCCTGTTTAAACTTAAAAAAACATGCACGAATTGCACAATTTAGGCAACGAACGAATCTACGAACTACGCACACCTCGCTTTAATAAATTAACATAAGAAATTTCAAAGAATACCTTGTACATAGCGTTCTGTTTCAACTTTAAAAAACATCTACGAATTGCACAATCTAAAAATAAACACTAGTCAACAAAATAAACTAAAATAAATTTCAAATAATTAAAGAAACTACAATAATGACAGAAATTCATACTAAAAAGCAATGAACATAACATTCTACAAAATAAGAACAGGAATAATATAAAATGCGCTTACCATGAATTAATACTTTTTCGAACAGCAGAAATACCAATTTCATACCGCCTTAAACATGCCTTCAAGTAATCACTATCGTATTTATATGACAGCTAGACACACTATCCAGAAAATTCATACTATGGTTCACAAATAAATAAAATCACAAATAATCACAATCCCTATGTCTATCATGCACAGTCACTAAAAATAATCTCCCAGACCTTCCTTCCACACCTTCAAATATCCACTGGCCCTTTAACAGGATGCCCACAGTGATATTTCCTTCTGCCGAACTTAAATTTAACAACTTCCACCATTTTAGCTTTCCCCCCTCTCTTCTGAGACACAGACGCGAACCAACGATCTCCAGCGAAAGATTTTTCAACGTCAACAGGGTTGCCATACAACACGTAATCGCGCCAAAACCCAGCGCAGAACCCATATCGTCACATTTGGTGAAATTAGGGCGTATATCAGAGTTATACCTTTTAATTTTTTAAGCTATGTTTTTGTTTGTACTTTTCTAGGAAAGTAAAATATTATAAAAATTAAAGTTTAAAAAAAAGTATTACTGTTTCAACTAAATTAAAACTGGAATATATAGAGAAGCTTCTAATTTAATTTTTGCTATAAAGTTTCGTCTCTATCATTAAATTTTATTTTTCAGAAGAAAACGTACCAGGGAATTAAGTTACGTACATTGCAGTGTTCTAGTTAAATGGCGCTAGATCGACACTTACAACAGCAATTGTAAAATGTTGCACGATATTGTTATGAATTCAGTTTAATTTTAAAGAAGCTTTTAAAGAAATAATGCTGAACTAAGCAATGCGATTACACTCTATGGAATATAAATAAATGATCATATACTTCGTTGTTTGAATAAAGTATCAATTTATTTTGTCCGTGATTTTTCGGAAACTGGAAACCATAAACACTTGGATATCGTTTCCTTTTAAAATATTAATTAATTTGAAATTTAACCAAAAATTTCTACAGTTCGTGATTTAGAGAATACTCTAATTAAATATTAATGTAATACAGTTTATTGTGAAACGTAACTGAAGAGATCACATAGTATTTTACTAAATATGCCAAATTTAAAGCACATTTCTGTTCTGGACTTGAATGATGTAAAATGGCGGATATTCGGTTTACCCTGAAAAGTTGCAATCTAAGTATTTCTTTCCAGGTATATTTATTTCCTCTAAAGGAAACCTCGAGTCTCCCATTATTACTTTCTTCTGACCTTTCGATTCAACAGATAGCCAGAAATTGCAGCACAAGTAGGTTAAATGTATCTTTTATCGCAATAGTTTCGCTTCAGAAGTACTTAGAAGAAGCTAACGGAGAACATCAAATTCTAATAGCTCTAGAATGCCATTCTGAGAGAGTATTTCGTAGCTTGTATGCCGCCAAACGATTTTTACAATATTCTGCTCC